CTTATTTACAATCTAATGAGACCCCTCCCCTGAGGTGCAGCCAGGGTTGCCTTGGATGGGACCGAGAATTTAGAGGACATGCAGGTTTCTGCTCACAACTCTGCTCTAGCTCAGCCAGTTTTGCAGAGGGAAAAAAAAATCACAGAAAAATGCAACTTTGCAGAATGGAAGATAAAAGAAATGAAGTGGATTTCCTAGTCCTTCCCACACCTCTCTCTTCAGCTGGCGCCTTACAAAGGTGCCCTTTGCAGGTGCCTCTCTGCCCCCATCTTAGTGATCCTGTGTAGCTTTGCCACTTTTCACAAGATCATGATATTGGCCAGCAAATGCCATGCTTGGATTTTGTAAGGTGTGGTTTAATGAGTCACCTGCCCAGAAATTGCATGACAAAAATGTAGTGTCCCAGGCCCCATCTCAGACCCAGTGAATTACAACTCCCACAAGTGTTGCAGCATAACCTGCTTTGAACAGGTTCACCTTTGTTATGATGATCCTATGCTTGCTGAAGTTCAAGGAGCTCTGTTTTAGGTTATCATCTTTATACTTTTATGCTTTTGTTTCTTCTGGTGGATTTTGAAACATTTCAGACAAACAGAAATATGATGCATACACAATATTTAATTTGGCGGTCAGAGGAGATCTCCAGAACACACTCTCTCTCTCTCTCTCTTTCTCTCTCTCTCTCTCTCTCTCTCTCTCTCTCTCTCTCTCTCTCACACACACACACACACACACACACACACCACACAACACACACACACACACACGATCACACGATGTCCAGTCTCAGACATTACATGAGAGCTAAACAAGAAAAGAGCAGGGAAACCTCATTCACACAATTCTGCAGTCCCCTCTGCCACCCTGCCAGGAAGATTCATATGGAGTGATGCACTGCCACCTGCCGTTCCTTTGTGGCATTGCAGGCACCTCTGTGATGGAGACGCATCAGCCAGCTTGTTCAGCTCCTGTCTAGGTGCAGCAAGCCCTCTGGGGCCTCCAAGGGCTGGAGGTTCAGTTCCCTCGATCCATTAGGTCAGACTGCACTCTAAGTGCAGAAAAGAGATGTTAGAGAGTAGGCTTTGGGGCAGCAGGAAGTAGGTGTAGTATATTAGACACATAAAAAGTAAGTGAATACAAGAGGATGTGGGAGTTTGAAAGATAAATAGCACACATTCGTATGAGCATGGGACGTCTAAATATGCAGCAATGAGTTCATGCAGGCATACACATGCACGCCTGAGGCCGACGTGCTGAGTGTCCTGAATGCCTCTCGGATCTCAGGGGCTTCCAGTCCCCTCCATTTGCACTGCAGCCCATCCTTGCTATTCCTCACACATGGAGGGCAGGCGCTTTCCCCAGCGTCTGAGCGCTTGCTCTTTCCTCACCCCAGATCATCACAAATAGACACCTGGTGCCCTCCTGTACTTTATTTAGGTCACTGCTCAAATGTCATTTCTTCTTCTGAGATAGTTTCCTTGACCAGCCTGCCAAAGACAGCACTCTCTCACCGACCCCACGCCTGCCCCCCCCCATTAACACATAAGGTCCATCTAGTACTAGGTGTCCCAGCACCGAGAACAATGCCCAACACGTGGTAGCACTCAAAACCTATTAAAATGAACAAATGACCATAATTTAGTAATAAGATTCAGTTTTGTCACTAACAGGACACACAGACATCATCCCTCCTGTGTGTTCTGACTTTAAAATGTGGTTAAAAGTCCTATATGACAGAGACCAAGAAAATGAACCTCTTTAGAATGGAACTAACAGAGCTGGTGTAGTACTTGCATTCCAGCGGATTCATTTAACTCAGATCTGTCTGAGAAGTCAGGACAACTGATGCACAAGAGGGGACCCTGGAACTGAGCCTGCAAATCTGACAGGTGCCATAAGAAAGGTGTAAAAGCTAAGGCCCTGGGGTGGAACACGGCATGGCCTTCTGGAGCCAACAGGGGACTAGCAGGATCCATGCAAAGTCTGAGGGCATGTGTCAAGTTCTTTTTCTGGTGCCTGGATCATAGTTAAATCGTCAGTAACTAGTGACTCTTCCTAGCTCTTTTGTTAAAATGGGAGAGTTTTATCGAGCAATTTCAGCTGGCAGAGCAGGGGCTCTGAAATCGAGCTGCTTTAGTTCACACCCTGGAATCAAGGAAGGTCACCTTTCTCCGTTTGTTGGTCTCTAGGTGGGGATGATGGCAGTGCCTGCTCCGTGAGGTGGTTGTGAGGATGAAAGGGGAATAAAGAGCCATTAGCAGAATGTGTGGTGCGCTGCTGTCCCTCAGTAGTGCTGCCTTTGGTCACCTCATTGAACTATTCTGACTTAGGACCAATGACTTTTTATCATATGGCTTCTAAGCCAGAAAATCAATTCTATTCTGTATGCTTGTCACAAAGCCTCACCTCAAATTCTGTAAAGAGAGAGAAGCATGGACAAAAGCAGAGACAGGGAATTATATCATTTGTTACCCAGCGAATGTTCGAGTATCTGCTATGTCTTGGAAACTGTCCTAGTCTTATCTTTAAAGGTAAATGCATAGGGCTCCTATCCTCCCAAGTTGGCAGCCTGTGTTCCCTGTCTCACCAATGTTATTTCAATATGTGTTATTATTGTTATAATTATGTAATGGCGGTTTTAATTTGAGCAAGTGAATAGCATAACCCACATGACTTTCTAGGAAAATCTCTCTGAGAACAATTTGGAGGGTGAGAAGGTACCTCACCATCACCATGCTTTGTATGCATATGTAATGTAGATACATGCAAGAATGAAGCTACACAAACACACGCATATAGTTCAAGGCCTACAAGGCCGACATGCTACGTGTCCTGAATATCTCTTAGATCTCATTGGCTTCCACTCCTTCCCTCCATCTCTGCATTGCAGCTCTTTGGGCTTTCTTACTATTCCTCCAACATGGAGAGCCACCTCTCCCTCAAGGTCCATGTGCTTGCTCCACCCTCACCCTGGAGCATACATTGTATTCTAGGTGCTGAGACACCTGGCATTGGGTGCCGCTTATGTGTTATTGAGGGAGGCAGGCATTGAACATGTAGGGCAGCAGGTGGATCAGGTAGGGATAGGTTAGAGGCAGGAAGTCAGTTAGAGAGCGGTGATGGTCCAGGTAGAGGTAGCGGGGGATGGTTAGTGCATGAATCAGGGCAGGATTGGGGTAGGTGAGAAAAGCTCTAGTGGAGACAGATTTCTGAAACCAAATAAATGGTGGCCTAAATGGATGTGGGAGGTAAGAAATAAGCAATCTAGATTGACTTTCTACTTCTGGGTTGCTCCCCTGGATAAACACTGGTTTTATTCGACAGATGGAGAATATAGAATGGGGGAGAATCATGCGTTTCTCAGAACCCTTTGGCTGCTAATTGAGTCTGGAGTCCAGAAGGTGGTTTTGGAGCCCATAGCATGTGGTTGTCAATTGAAGGTCAGGGTGTGGGTGATATGACTCAGCGGAAGAGCATGTGGAGGGAGAAAAGGCCAGAGACGGTGTACCAGGAAACACATGTAAAGGTCAAGCAGAAGAAGAGGCGGCAATTGAGCAGGGGGAAAGGCCTGAGGCACCCCCTTCTTCTCCACCTTGTGGAATAATGGTGGAGGTGATAGATTTCTGTCATTTTCAACCTCAGAGGAAATCACATTTTTCCTGGGAACAGAGACTCAAAGGGAAGGTCAGGGTCCCAGGAAAGGTCCGAGTGGTTCTGTAGGAGGAGGATATTGGTATCTTTGTGGATTTGTTCATCTCATTAAGATTTCTGGTCTAAGGGGCCTCCATCGATAGCATCATCTTTTGTTTAGTTTAGCATATCCTGAGGAGTGAGAACCAGTAGCTCTCTGCCCACTCAGGCATGCCTTTGTCCTGGACAAGCTTACCTCAACACCAAACACAGTTTATTCCATGGTTACCTAACCAGGTGCTTTACAGACAAGCGCCTTCCCCCCTGCCGGCATGTGGCCCGCGCATACACACACACACACACACACTCTCTCTCTCTCACACACACACACACACACTCTCACGCGCGCACACACTCTCACGCGCGCACACACACGCACACAGATTTACACGCACACAGATCTTTAAAATCCAGTAAATAATAAAGAATAATTATCCTCCTTCTCTCACCATGCAACATGGAGTCTATGATATTTTTCACAATCCCGGTTTATCACCAAGGATATAACCTCTTGGAAAGACTCTCTGTTTCCCTGTGAACCCTCCTATTATGACTTTTCACGTAAAGACTTCATAAACTATTTGTTAATTTTTAAACTTTTACATATAAAAAACTCAGACATTTTAGGCCTGGAAGAAAGTCGGTAAATGCAAAATGTTGAGATGTAGTTATTCACAATATATCCTTTTCTCCAAGAGCACTTTTCTCAGGAAAATGACTGCTGTGTTCTGGAGGCATTAGAATGAGTCATGCGTATTCTCTCCAGAGCAGAGAGGTTGCAGCAGAGAAAGCTCTTCCCTCTCCATCTCCTCTCTCTCCTCTTGTGCCTCAGGTCCCCTGGAGCATGTGCACCTGGCCCTGCCCTTTGTCACCACGAAGAACAAAGAGGTCAACGCAACCGCTGTGCTGTGGCCCAGCCAAGTGGGCACCCTCACCTACGTGTGGTGGTACGGGAACAACACGGAGGTGGGTCATGCTGGAAACAACACGCATGGGAGCTGGTGGCAGCTCAACTCCAACTGGCTGAAGCAGAAAGGGAATGAGATGGCTTGTGGACCTCAAGAGTCTGGGGGCGGGGGTTCCTAGCCTCGGGGCCAGCAGGCCCTTAGAGCATCAATGTGTGTGTTCTCTTTGTCTCTCTGTCTCTGTTTCTCTGCCTGTCTCTGTTTCTTTCTCTCACCATGCTATTCCCTTCTTCTTGCCTCTGCCTTCCTCTGTGTAACTGCCCTTCTCTAGTTGGACAATCCTTTGCAGTGATCCTTTGCAGCAGCCCAAGCTTACACCCTCACAGCTCAGTAGAGAAAACAAACTCTTTCTCTAAAGTTCTAACACAAGTCCTGGGATGGACTATGATTGGCCAGGCCTTGGTCACAGCGTTGGGGTGGAAAGAGGTGTGGAAGTCAGCCTCCTGAGAACCACATGAACCAAGACAAGGGAGGGAATGGTTCCAAAAAGGAAAAGAGGTGAATGGATATGCGCCAGGCAAAAGCAACAGAAGCCCATTTGCTGGGGCTGACCAGCAGACCCTGAGCTATGGATGAATGATTACTCTGACACAACATTTGCTGTGAAAGAGAGGGCTAAGGGACTGCCTGGCTAAAGGAACCAGGTAGCCTCGATCATCTGCCTTGTTAGGCTTTTATTGTAACAGCAGTTTTAGATAAAGTTTATCTTTTAGATACTATTGATAGGATAAGTAATCTTGGGAGGGCACATGTGTTTGCAGTGTCCTTTAAGCAAGGACACCCAAGATTAAGCATAAGGATTCCAGTAAACACCCAGGGGTCTGCAAGTGCACAGACTTGTTTGGAAAGGTCAAGGAAAAATTAGGGACGCCACCTTCGGCACTCCCCTAAGTTGGAATTCTGATCAGCAGGGCAGGCTGTCTTCAGCACACTTCCCTTTTCTCAGAATGCCCCCTTTAGAAACTTTCCAACCAAGTTCCCTGTGCTCCCCAACACCCATTACCACCCAGCTCCCCAGATGGCCTCCTCACCCTGCATCAGACATGCCAATGTCTTTAGTCAGCTTTACCCTTTCTGTTTTCCCAAAGCATCCCCCGTGATCAAAAGTCAGCAGCCATTTTTAAACCAGTAGAGACCGTCACCTAATTTACTCTGAGTCCTTCGTTTGGCAGATGAACAAAAGTGAGGAAGAGGTGGACAGAGTGGCCTGCTCTAATCCCATTCAGCTGCTTCATGCAGGGATCAGATCCAAGGCCTTCTGATGCCTACATGGATTTTTATTCTCCTTATGCCTGGCCATGTGCTCTGTTTCAGTTTTGAACTCACTCCATTCTCATAAAATAAGGCCCCAGAGTGTCCGCCAGCAGAGGGCACAGGACGGACTGCCCTGGACTGGAAGCCTCATCTTCTTCCAGCAGAGTCCCTGTCTCTTGATGACTTAACTGATCTGACGCAATGCATTTTATTTTAATGCAAATATTGTTCTACCCCAGAGCTGAACTTTGGCTTTAACTCCAGACAATTTTGCACAGGCCAACGATGAACACTCCTCTCTAGCCCTGCTACAAGCCTGACAGTGGAAGGAATCTCTCGCCTCTACAGTTAACATGAACTCAGCTGAAAAGAAGCCCATTTTATTACTTCTGAAACTATACGTGTAAATTCATCCCAAACTGAGAGGACATGACCCACAGTGAGAGAGTAGAAATCTATGTTATTGAAAGCTAGTCTTGGAAGGTGAAAGTCCTAAACAATGTTATTCTCTGTCTCCTGTTATTTACCTTTTAGCAGAAAACCACATTTTCAATAGATCATGTTGAGCAGCCTTCTTATGCTGGCTGTCATCTTCCCTCTGCCATCCAGGGAATTAAATGACTTTTGATTTTAAAATTAATTAAGAAAAGACAGGAAAGAAATGATTGCGGGGAGTGAGTTGAGGGAGGTCATGGGCTAATTATCTTTTCCTTCAGGACCCCGGCCTCCAACTGTAGCACAGGCACTGGCCCAAGTCATTGTCTTTATTTATTTATTTGTTTGAGTCCTCAACCCACCACCCAATTAGTACTTTTTTCCATGGAAGCTGCTTCCCTGAAATGCTGATCGGCCTCTCAGAGGAAGCCCAGCCATGCCAGGCCACTCCTGTTAACTACTGTGGTTTTGGTGTTCACGGTTGCTGTGTTCCATTGCAATTTATTATGACTAGTATACCCTGGAGATAAACAACTGGCAGTTTGTAGATTTTCAGTGACAGCTGCTTAAATCTGGGTTCATATGGTCCTCTCTTTTGGTCTCATCTGAACGTTTCCTTGAATGAAAGGATCTGCTTAATATGAGTAGATTATCCATAAAGACACATGTATCCCATCAACAAGCACAATATATCAATCTTCCCAGCCCTCAGTATGGTGCCAGGAGAGAAGTGTCAAATTCAGAAGACATGGGCAGGGCTACTTGGGGCCATAGCTCTATAGCCCTTTTTTGGTCTGGACTTGAGATGATGGGGAGGTATGGATGGACTCAGATGTCACCGAAAACAGCCTTCACTGATTTAAGATGCTTGCTGATGGCTGTCTCATCTGTAACTGAAGAGCTTTGGCTCCACTAGTGTTGCTCAGTGGTTGAGAATCCACCTATGAAACATGAGGTCAAGTCTTGATTCCCTGGTTGCGGCCTTGATCCCCAGTAGAGGGTGTACAGGAGACAACAGATCAGTCATTCTCTCTCATTATTGATGTTTCTCTCTCTCACCCTCCCTTCTTCTCTGAAATCAATAATATATATAGCTTTGCCCTTACTCCATGCTTTTGTTTATTCTAGCCCTTGATCACCTTGGAAGGCAGCATATCATTCAAGTTTACCTCCGAAGGGATGAACACCATCACAGTGCAGGTCTCAGCTGGGAATGCCATTCTGCAAGACACCAAGACCATCGCAGTGTATGGTGAGTACTGTCTTCATTGATTCACTGCTGCCCCCCTGCTCAGAGGTTACTCGGTACCAGAGTGCCAGGGGCCATCTGGCTTATGACCTCTAACCAGAGCACAGAGGACAGTGGTTGAGGAAGAGCTGAGTCAGGTCTGGTCTCCTCTTTTAGGGAAGAGACACCAGCAAAATAGTAGTCACAAGACCCCAGGGGGTTTATTGTTTTATTTTGTTTTTCTCTCCACGTGACTCTGGTGCACATAGAGTGTCCATTCGCTCACTCACCTTAGGTAGGGTGAGCTTCATTATGTGTAAGGCTCTTCCATTCCATTTGGCATCTTGGTGTTGTTTGAATAGCTAAAACCGATTATAAAAGAAAATGGTTAATATTGAGGCTTTCTACAAAAGTCAACGTTAAGGAATCTACCAACATCTAAATACTCTGAAAATATTTTACACAAATCTGTATCATAAAAATGATGCTAGATTAAAAGAGATGGAAAGGTCATAACAGGCAGATGTCATATACCGGATATTGATTTGAACACGTCACTGTAATTTTGTAATTCATTGGGGAAGTTGAATATGCTCAGATTATTAGATGGAATGAAAATGTACTGAACTGGAAAGGTAGAATTATTAATTGAAAATGAGGATTGAAAAAACAGTTTATACAAATTGAGCTCATTTGGGAAATTTTTTTCTGCATAGAAGAATATTCAGATGGATGCACTGTTATTAGAGGATAACAAAAATGTAAACTTTTATTGTTGATATGGAATGGTACATATGCAGTATGGAAAATTAAAATTAAAAAAGAATTTTAAAAAGATAGGGACAGTAAATGCTCTGCAGAAAGAGAGTGTACAAAAGGGAGGGAGAAAGGAAGGAGAGAGAATAGATGATAGATGATAGATAGATAGATAGATAGATAGATAGATAGATAGATAGATAGACAGACAAACCAGCTGGTGGTTCAGATGATATCAATTATCCCAGTTCCAGAATTAATTGATCCTGATGCAGGTTCTGTTTCTTATTTCTCAAATTGCCATCTTGACCTTCAAATTCAGAGAGTAATTTGTAAGCAACTTGGAACGTGTCTGAGGAGGATATTCCCTGCATAGCTGGAGTAAGATTTCATAATGTCCCCTCCCTTTTCCCACAACCCCGCACCCCTGCCAAGAAATTGATAAGCCCAATAGTAAGTGCAAGTAGACCAGGGCTGCAATTTTCCTCACAAGGTCCCATCAGTGAGGCAATGGCCCAGCCAGAGTTCAATCAGGAGGAAAATTTGGCTTCTCTTTATTTCTTTACCCATTTCTATACCCTGGGTTGCATTGAATCCTCATAACAATCCCAGTTTAGGATAGGTGATATTATTGTTATTGGTGGGGAGCTCTCTGCATCCCCACCTGTTGCTGGTGAATGTGGGGTTCTTGCCATGTCACAATAAAGGACTTTTCTGAGACTTGCACAGGAGATTGAGTGGCTTTTAGTTGTGTGAAATTACATCCATGATTTCCAAGATCCCATTTTCCTTCATACAGTCAAGGAAGAAGTCCAACTGTGTCTTTAGCAGCACTAGGATTACAATCATTGCTCAAGGTTCTGTTCCATATTTGCATAGCCCAGGCTAGCTTAGTTTGTGTTCCCAGCTGCAGTCCATCAGCCCATTGCCACATGGAGATGGAGGGAACATGGGTAAATCCAAGGAAGCAGGAGCCAAGCCAGAGGAACAAGAGAGCCAAAAGAGAGTGAAGTATTCCATTGCCTGGGGGATTATGTATCTCCCAATTCTCCTGGGCTTTCAGTGGCCCCACCTCCTCTAGCCAATTATTTTTGCTTCCAGATTAGACCAACAGGCACCTTCCCTATGTCACCCCAACTTTATTGCTCATGCATCCATCCTGCCTTTGTCCACTCCCTTCCCCCAGTGATCTGGAGGGAATGGACCCATGGTTCTCTGGGGAGGGTAAAGTTGCAGCTTCCTGGTCACTTTTCCTTTCTTCCCATAGATGTCCACTTGGTTAAGAGTATCAAATATTTTCTTACTAGAACAACAGAGAGAACTTTAAATCTATGTATTCTCTAGGCTTACATGATCCAACTAGTCATTTTGCAGATAGGAAATTGTGGCCCAGAAATGGGAAATTACTGACTTAACATTATTCTGCTGTTCAGTGACAGATTCAATAATGATGCTAGTGCTAGTAATTAACACTGATGGAAACATTACCAGCATCTGTTCTAAGCACTTGATATATATGATCTATTTTATTGAACAGAGTTGAGAAAGACTTATGAGAAATATGCTATAATTATCCTTGTTTTACAAATGAGAAAATATGAGGTAAGTGTAGTAAACAGAATCTAAGACTCTGAATTCAGAGGGAACATTTATCACCACTTTGCTACTTAGTTGTTCCTCTTCCTAAAACTCCTTAAAAAGGCATAATCCAAAAGAGAGTCACCAGTGGCGCTGCTGGTGTAGTGGTATCATGCAAGATTCCCAAAAGAGAGTCAGCCCTTCAGATGGGTTATCTTCATTGAAAAAGGTGAAGTGGTTTCCCCTCCTCTAACCAAGCCCCTGAACCATCACACTTTTTAAAATTTGTCTTTAGTCAGATGAGTTGTCCAGAGTTGCATATGAATGACTAGAAAATTGTAATGACACTTTTGACATATTAAAGGCAAATTGCAGCACATGGAGTTAGGCAGGATTTAATTCAACCTAAACAAAAGGCAGGGAGATGTTTAAACTCTGGGATGAGCTAGTGGAAAAGTACTAGAGGACTTTGGGGGATTATCAATGTAATTAGGACATCAGTGTTTGCTAATTGGTGCTTAGAAAGTGAGGCTCCTGCCCTGCCCTCAGTGGTAAGGGGCTTATTTTCTTGATGGTGACATTGCAAAGACATGGCTCCCTGGTCCTTGAGAAAGCTATTCATGGCTTATAGATTTATATCTCAAAGGGGCAGAGAAAGAAATTTACAATCACAAGTGTGCCAAAGTAAATGCTCCTAGAAAAGAGAGGTCAGGGACCTATAGTCAGGAAGGAACCTGTCTGGAATGCAGTCAAGTTGAGGGAACATTAAGGCCATCGTGGTCACACTGAAGGAGGCATCGTATTTGGGAAGTAGACAGAGGAATGATTATCCACCTAAAGACACGTAATAGACCAGAGGAAAGAAAATCTCCTTTTTATTATTGCCTTTAATGTGCTTCAGGACACAGGTTTACTCTTTTAATACAATAAAGAATATATGAATATGTAGAATTTCTCTCTCTCAGAAGCTACTATATATATGTGTGTGTTTGTGTGTGTGTGTGTGTGTGTGTGTATGCATATATGGATGTGTGTGGATGTGCATATGTGTTTGTGATGTTTACCCTTCTCAGTCCTCCCACATGCATACCCTATTTGTTGAATGAACTTAAGTATAACATTGCTCAGCCATCCCCCTCGACCCCGCCCCACTGTTTAACATGCTAAGTAATTTCAGAGGGAGCTTCATCATTTGTGTCCTTTTATTAAGATAAACATCTTCCCTTGTAGATGAAGTTTCTACAGTTTGATAAGAGGTTCTGGGGAAGTGAAAATGACATAAACATATCTTTGAAGTGAAAAGTTAGGACTCAGTGGGTGATTTTCTAGCACTGCCATTGACCAGGCTACTAATTAGTATGCATTTCACTGCCCTCCATCAGAACGGACATGGTGGTATTCACATTGGTAACCAGTGACTCATAAAATAGTCAAGCTCTGAAAATAGACATCTCTGGACTGCCATTAATGCACACCTTACCATGTAGGAGTCATCAAAGCTTGTGTCCCAGGAGTCCTTGCATTGTTAGGAAATGCAAGTGGGTGTTTATGTTTCCTGAATGTGTATGCAGCATTGCCCTTGTTGCTGAACCCCCAAATACAAGGAACCACTTAAGTCAAGAAATGTTAGTTAAATAGTAAATGTAGAAATTACAGAGAACCTGCACTGTAATTCATGCATTTATTTATTCAACAGAAAAATTTAATCATTAAATGACTTATAGATAGGAATTGAAAAGCCATGAACAGGAAACTGTCTCATAGAGCCAGGAATACAATACCCCTTTCCTCATAGCGATTATATTCCAGTGGGAAACAGACAATAAAAACAAAATAATTTAAGCAGCAAGAAATATGAAAAAGACAAGCAGGGTCATATGATGGAAGGTGTTTGAGTTGGTGAAAGGGAGGATACCAAAGTGGCTGGTGGGAGGGCGTTCTCCCAGGAGAGCCTGAAAGGTAAAAAAGTTGAGAATGCTATAGTCTGGGGACCTGAAAGCATGGTGCTAATGTGGGCAGATTGAGGAACCCAGGGAAGGACAGGGGCCTGGAGTGGGGACCCTGCAGGACATGAAGCAGCAGAGAAAGTCACTATTGGGCTGTGTGGGATGAGGGGCTGTGGTAAGAATCTATTAAATTGTATTCCACATGCTGTGCGGAGCCATGTGCCAAATGCTGAGCTGAGTTAAGGTTCTGGGCTATGCTCTGAAACCCAGCACCATCCTGGGGCCAAGGCTACACCTTCCATGTGCCGATGCCCACCAGTGACTGACTAAGACAGGAAGTCCAGGGCAGATCCATTCCTGGGGCACAGGGACCCCTCTGGCTGACTGCAGCTGGAAAACTCTCCCACAGTCTTTCCGAACCTCCCACAGACTGCAGAGCCTGTCTGTGATCACAGTCAGGGGTGCTCAAGCTCCTGTGGCTTTTTCTCCAACTCTCTCCTCATAAAATTCTCCCTTCTGTCATCCCACCTACTTCCTGGAGGAGTGGGACTAACTCAGGGACCAGGGAGACAACTAAGAAAACCCTTGAACTGAGGAGCTTTAAATCCATTACATAAAACTTTCATGCACATGCAAAATAGCAACA